CAGGGAGAATTAATATTTGGCCTCTGATGCATTTTTTTTGAAGGAATAAAGAAAGTAAAGAGAAGCATTATCTATTCAAGTAGCGCAGGGAATAGCGGTACATATAACAAAATAATCTTTTAGAAGGGCCTTATCTTTTAATTTTGCCTTGGGCCCCCACTTCATCTTGGTTCGCCTCTGCTGCTAAGCTCATTTTAGGAGGTTTTGCTAGTTTAGCTGTTTTCAATGTCCTGTAGCTTTTCCAGTAACAGACATATTTTTCCAAGTAGTATAGTGTGAGCAAATAATTGGTGGCTGTTTTTACGTGAGTTAATGTTTAATTTGTATGTCTGAACTGAATAATCAAACAGTCCTCTCCAGTTCTCATATACATTGCAAGTCAGATTGATATTGGTGAATCAATTTATTCTAAATGATTTTCTCTCATATAGTGTTAGAAAATTTTCATTCATTCATTCCCTGAGTGAATCAGTTCATCTTAAATTGTTCTCTCTCATGTAATTTTGGAAAGTCTGGTTCATTAAGTTCATGTAATTGATTAAACATTAATTAATTAATTAAAAAAACAATAATTGATTTGATTGTAGTATTTTTTTGTTTTTATTTTTTTATGTAAATTAGGTTGTTTTTATTTGTACAAATTAGAGTTATTATTTAGTGAAAAATTATGTGTTCAAGTTTCACACTGTTGCATATTATTACCGTATTGTCCCGAATATAAGACGATATTTTTTTCTTGGAAATACATCTGAAAAAACGCGGTCGTCTTATATTCAGGGTCTAGACTTTGACATGTCAATAATACACCCACAACACTAGGTGGCGCCAAATACGCATAAAACGAGTGTGCCATGAAATACATAATGTAATGCGTGTTGTAAAGATCGCAAGTAAAAACAAAAGAAGCAGAAAACCTTACAGCTGCACGAGTAGCGAATCCTCCGGGAGAGTTTTGTAGGGGTAACCAGACTTGTGAGCGTATTTGCATCGTACAACTGGCTAAATATACTGCAAAGTGATATGCGAGTGTGTAGACAATGAAACAACAGAGCTGGTTTCACCCATTGGTACATGTTTTAGACTGGTCTTTGTTGAAATACCAAAAACAAAGACATTTTAAATATATTAAAGATTAATTGTTTATGTGTGCTAATCACTCAAAACACACTTTAAAAGTCTTATGAAGGGATTGTAGAAGTGTTGGGCAGTAACTGAATGAAAGTAGTGATGCTGCTAAATATATATATATATATATATATATACAGTGGGTACGGAAAGTATTCAGACCCCCTTAAATTTTTCACTCTTTGTTATATTGCAGCCATTTGCTAAAATCATTTAAGTTAATTTTTTTCCCTCATTAATGTACACACAGCACCCCATATTGACAGAAAAACACAGAATTGTTGACATTTTTGCAAATTTATTAAAAAAGAAAAACTGAAAAATGCTCAGTATTTAGTAGAAGCACCCTTTTGATCTAATACAGCCATGAGTCTTTTTGATGCAACAAGTTTTTCACACCTGGAATTGGGGATCCTCTGCCATTCCTCCTTGCAGATCCTCTCCAGTTCTGTCAGGTTGGATAGTAAACGTTGGTGGACAGCCATTTTTAGGTCTCTCCAGAGATGCTCAATTGAGTTTAAGTCAGGGCTCTGGCTGGGCCATTCAAGAACAGTCACAGAGTTGTTGTGAAGCCACTCCTTCGTTATTTTAGCTGTGTGCTTAGGGTCATTGTCTTGTTGGAAGGTAAACCTTAGTTCCAGTCTGAGGTCCTGAGCACTCTGGAGAAGGTTTTCGTCCAGGATATCCCTGTACTTGGCCGCATTCATCTTTCCCTCGATTGCAACCAGTCATCCTGTCCCTGCAGCTGAAAAACACCCCCACAGCATGATGCTGCCACCACCATGCTTCACTGTTGGGACTGTATTGGACAGGTGCCTGGTTTTCTCCACACATACCGCTTAGAATTAAGGCCAAAAAGTTCTATCTTGGTCTCATCAGACCAGAGAATCTTATTTCTCACCATCTTGGAGTCCTTCAGGTGTTTTTTTAGCAAACTCCATGCGGGCTTTCATGTGTCTTGAACTGAGGAGAGGCTTCCGTCGGGCCACTCTGCCATAAAGCCCCGACTGGTGGAGGGCTGCAGTGATGGTTGACTTTCTACAACTTTCTCCCATCTCCCGACTGCATCTCTGGAGCTCAGCCACAGTGATCTTTGGGTTCTTCTTTACCTCTCTCACCAAGGCTCTTCTCCCCCGATAGCTCAGTTTGGCCGGACGGCCAGCTCTAGGTCGTCTTATAATCAGGGTCGTCTTATATTCTGGCCAATACGGTAATATAAAACAGGAAAAGGAATATAAGAAAAAAGGGGAATTTATGCATTCATATTTTTAGGTTCTCTCAATTATTGTCTTAAAAACAGTCACTACTTTTTTGGAAATTTGAATTTGTTTGTTCAAAATGGTCCATTTGGCAATTACAGATTTTGTGTACAACACATTTTCACTTAGTAAACCAGTAAATTGATCATTTTGGTAGCAATATGCATACAGGACACTTAATATGTGAAGTGAACAATGCTATCCTTGTTTCAGAAGGCATAATTACATTAGAAAGCAAAGATATCTAAGATTTAGTTTTAAATGGTTACATAGACCTCAACACATTTATGTTCGCAGCCAACAACTGAATGAGCTCTTAACACAACAAAACACAACAAAAAACCCAACATTAATGGCAAAACAACAAAAGTTCGCAAAGAGTGAAACAATAAACCTATAACAGCAACTACAAATTGTGTTTGACTAGTTGGGACAACATTTTGGGGAATGGTCTAACGTTTTTTCAAGTAATTCACATTCCTTAGTATTTATGACTTAAAAGGAAACATGTAGTGCCCCCCTTTTTTACGGTTTATTAGTATTTATAAGAAAAAGTGTCACTTGACTGTAGTGACAGTTTCAAAGTACTGCATCTTCCCCAACACTGTCAGAGACAAGTATAGCAGATGCACTAAAACGGAGGCTAATTCAATCTCTTTAAATCACCCATTTATGTACTTTTTTCATATCCATGGTGCACGCTTTTTGCTTAATGCCCCGGGCTCGGTATCCTATTAGAAAAAGCGTCATTGCTAGGCCTTATGTTTCACTTTATGCACCACAGACTACACATTCAAGTCCACTAGAGCAGACCTCGGCCTTTGAAAGCGCTTGAACCACATCGATATGAAACCCCACTGCTCATATATTTGTAACACTACAGTCGCAAATCTTCTGTTGGTGCAACATGTTCTTTCCACATCGCCAGGGAAAGTATGTGTCCCTTTTATTTCTGCGCATAATGACATAACAGATGTTTATTATTCAGAGGGTGAAATCAGTGAAAGGCTATTGAATCCGTTTGTTTAAGGCCGCAGTAAAAGTGGAATAATTTGCAAAGTCTTTGAGAATCAACACAATCAGCAGTGGCTTTAATAGCATTTTAATTAATCTTCCTCAAATTGCGTGCGAGCGTTTAAAAGGAGCCCGTTCGCTACTGGATCTTCTGGGTGTTATATTGTGTGCATGAGAGATGCAGCTATGTGATGGGAAACCCAGGGGACTCGCAGGAGGACAATGCTGGCTCTCTGGAGAATTTGACGCTGCCGAACTGAATGTGAATGCATAAAAGAAAACTCGGCAGCAGTGGGGGATAGGGCACAACATGGCTTGTGTGTCTTTTGTAAAAAAACAGCACAGAATATGTCCGCATTCTCAGTTTAATCTTAAATAGGTTACTTGTTATGCTGGTTAACTGTTATTCAGGTTGCACAGGAAAGAGAAAAGTTAGCAGAATGTTTTTATGTGATTTGCTTTCTTGTCCGCTCTAAACAAAAGCAGATACATGCAACGTGAGCGTCCACCATGCGCTCTTTGTCGGCGCAGGCTACACCCCTCCATTTGCTGCTTGCCTGCTTTTCCTGTTTGGTCTGCTCTCTTTGGTTTGTCCCTTATCTTTCCGTTAGTCATTCCTCCTGCTTGATACAGTGCTTGGCTCTGCTTTGTGGTGTTTGGCACCCTTTCTTTTCTACCCCCTCTCTCTGTGAAAGACACTTTGTCCTCCTGTGCTAAAGTTTAGAAGCAAGGGAGAAACGTCTTGGCAACACTTACTGTGTTTGCTGCCATTACACCTGGATGTGGCCAAGACTCCGTCTTCAGGGAGATCTTCTCCTGCAGTGCTGGACAAATGAAGTCGTCTTTGTTTATTTTGCACCAAACAACAGAAGAATTGACAATGACAGATTTCAATATCATTTTGATTAAAATATTGTGAAAACAGTCTTACTATTTACTGTATTTCTAAATATTGTTTATTTATAATGTGGGATTGCTTACTAGATGATACATGACAGAATAAAAGTTCATTCATTATTATTTTGTTCGAATATTGTAAACAAATCTTAATATTTATTTATTTATAAATTAATTTTGAAGGAATGTTTTGAAAAGTATCTTAACATATTACAGAATAAATTATTAGTGTTTTGTTTAATTATAAAACTACATTTAAGTATTAAGATGCTGGAAGTATGCCACATAAATGTGCAAAGGAGGCTTCTAATTAGTATTTTTATTGGTTTTAACTCTACACTGTGTCTATTAAACTGTAAAATATTTTTTGAGTTTGTAAGATTACTAAAGTATGTTTTACAAGAAATAACCAAGGAGTCTTTCTACTTAAAAATGTCATGTTTAATTGCTTGCTGATTCTTTGAAACTTGTGAAAATTGTTTCTAAACCATTTTTTTTTACCCAGTATACTGTCTGTGTAAACTAATGTTTTAATGGTAACACTTACACAATAAGCTTCCATTACTTAACATAAACTATCCATGAAAAATACTTCTAAAACATTTATTAATCTTTGTTTGTTTTATAATTTAATTTACTATGACTTATAGCTTTTTAATATACTTGTTTAAAATGATACTATTCTCAGTTTTTTCTCTCTTTAAGGAGGTTACTGCAGGAAGTCAAAAGTGTATCTGGGTTTTCCATCTTCAATCCCTGTAGAGGTCACTGTTGCTTGGCACAGCTGAAAAACAACTGAAGCTCAAAAGGAAGGTAATTAGATCCAACATTATCTGATATTCACACACACTTAATATTTCGCAAAATTATGTTGGTTGCTCAAATAACTTGATCCCAGCATCAGTCGAGAGACAATTAAGCATATTGTTGCGTCAGAATTACCTGCAGGACATTCTGAATCATCTGAACATGCGTCAGGAGATATTTTATGTTTATAAGATCAGTTTATTTGTGCAAGAGCTCTATGATGGTAATTTAATTCCTTGATATTTGTGTTTCAGGAAATGATTACAGGTTGTAATTAAGGGTGCAGCTTTGTTATGGAGCTCTAAAATGAGAGATATTAATTTGCTCTCTACTTCACATTTGTTTGGGCCATTTAATTCTGAAATCCACACACACTCGGTGCGGAAAACATGCCTGAATCAACTCTAAATCATATTTATCGCTAGGAGCACACGTCCAGATGGCAGACTCTTAACTGAGCTTGGATTAATGGGAGGACGGGCAAGAACTGCATCAAACTCCTCTTAAGGACCTTTGAAGAACAACATTGCTAATCGCTCATAAGCAGAGGCGGACAAAGTACTCAACTCCATTACTTGAGTGAAAGTACAGATACTGCTTGTCAAATATTACTCCATTACAAGTAAAAGTTGTAAAGACAGATTTTTACTTAAGTAAAAGTACAGAAGTACTTGCTTTTAAAAGTACTTAAGTACCAAAAGTAAATTTCCTTTTTTATGTCAATGCACATATTTTTTATTGTTGTACGTCATAAGTTCCCAGAAAAAATAATACTCAAGTAAAGTACAGATACTCAAAAAGTGTACTTAAGCACAATACTCAAGTAAATGTACTTAGTTACTGTCCGCCTCTGCTCATAAGGACGCTGTAGAACATGCTTGTTGGGTAAAAATAAACAAATTGTGCTTTGTTTGGAAACACATTGCCAGCTTCAGCTGGCATTTCTGATAGATATCCATAGACTAATAAGTATGTGTGTGTGTCTACGGTGAAATGCAGATGGCCTGGCACACATAAGCCCTTAGTTAGGATTCTGTTTAAGTGTTAAAATCAATTCCAAGCAAATAACGTGGAAACCTTTGTGTAAGCACTTTTTACACTCTTAATTCTCCCTTGTTAAATTAGCCTCGGTGTTGGAATGATGGGACAGCAGATGAAGAAGAAACCTAAGCATGCTGATACTAAAGTATCTAAAGGTTTGCAACTTCGGTAGTTGAAAATTTACCATAGTCTCTTTAAATAATATGAAATAAAAATGAACTAACAATATATATAATGAATAGAACAACTGAATACATATGAGCAATATATTTTTTATATATACTGATTTATTTACAGTACTTTGTAGTCATGAATGTCACAGTTCAGCTATCACGATAATATATGACAGATAATAAGTCATTGTAAATTCATGGTTACCAGTGCAAGAATTTATTGGGTTCTCCAACTGGGAGAAGCGTTTTTTATCTAAGATAGATGTATCATTATGCACCGATAATTCCTCCTAGAAAACGTGGCTGGCTGTGTTTGCTTTGCCTTTGCGAGGGTTTCTGTATGCTACCTCAGTTGATTTCCACATCTAAAAGGACAGGGCATCTCATTTCTTGTCACTGTGTCCCAAATTCCTAAAGGTACAATTAGCATTTTGCCTGACAAAATGTTGAAAGGTTCATAGATTGATATTTGCAAAAATGCAGCAAGATGCTTTTTTTCCCCGAATGCAAATTTTGACATTTATTAACTTTTATTCCAGATCTGTTTATGGATTGTAAAAAGTGTGCATACATTTAACAAGAATCAGGTGAAATTACAATGTTTACACAGTTGCTGTCCGATGCGCAAAGTGTGTGATTTAACACAGAGGCGATGAAATTTTTACTGTCCTTGATTTATGTCTTCTATGGCATTTCTAATGAGAGGGAGCGGCGTTTCATTGAAGAACAGCGCAGGAAACTACATTTACTGCAGGCCTTTTTTTTCTCAGGGGTGCTTTTCCCCTGTGAAATAATGTCAGCACTTTCCCACCTTCAAAGTCCTTTTGTTTTTCTCAATCCATTAACAATTCTAATTGTACAGCACTTGTTAAGTAAGCATGGTAAATAAGCCAGGAAACGCATTATTTCCCTTTAGTGCAGATTAAAGGTAGCACTGCGCAATGTTGAAACACATTAGTGAACACTAAAGACAGAGAACAGAAACGCACACTTCTGTCTTGCTCAGCTGCGCGGTGAGCTTCCTGACGTTAAAGAGTCGTTTCTGTGAGAAACAACTACCTCATTCCGTCCACATATCTGTTAATGAACATATCTGTGCTCTGGAATCTTCAAAAGGGATGCAATCACTTTAAATTTGATTAAAGTGATACATATTAGGCTGCCTGTTTTCTTTGGGCCTTTCAGCTAATTAAATAGCTTTGTATGGCATCGACTGCTTTTCTTAGACACAACACCCCAGTTCAACTTTGCTGGTCTGGACAGCCATATCTTAATTGGGGATCATTTCGCAAATGTGGTTCAATTTCCTTTACAAGACAGTTACTGTTAACTGCTATTTTTAAAGCCAATAACAACGTCAAAGCTCGGGATGATTAAAGCAATTAAAGTTTCCCTTTGTTTTCTGAATACAGTGAGATAGGCAGCCGTGTTTGTATAACATTTATTAAACATTTACTAAATGGAATTGAATCTGTCATCGCAGAAGTTTTTGGAGACAATTACTTTTTTGTGTGGCGAGCACGCTTTCGTTCAGGGACTGTTTTGAGCTTATATCCCTGATTAGCCTTGCGATTTTAATCAAACTTTACCCTTAAATCTACACACAGTAAGAAGAACTCGTGTGTAATTTCAGCACCAGACTTTACCCAATTAGCATACTACATTTTCTCCATTAGATAAACTGCCTTTTGAGATCTGACTGGTTTAATCTGTTTAATGTGCGTGTAAACTATAATCTCTCAATTCTGCAGATTCCCTTAAGGACATTATTCACATACTCTTCGTTTTTGAAATGCATGATCCAGCACCGCTCTTAAAATCAGAATTGCATGCTGATTAGAAGTCGGGTATTTCACAGAGTTTTTCCTTCCTGGTCAGAGGGAGGGAGCAGAGTTACGTGCAAGTAATCAGCCGCAGACTAGTTTCGCCGCAAGTTTAATGGCGTTTTACAACCAGACGTGTTGCTGGAACCGCACCAGTGTCACATACAGATGTTACTAATCAGTGGATGCACAGAGAACAATGCAAAAAAAGAAGAAAATAATTCAGGGAAATGTCAGCCGTAATCATTGTCTTAGACCTCTGTGCCACATGCAGTGAATTCTGGGAAGGCTTAGCGTTCTAAAAATCTAAACAAATGAACACCGGATCGTACCCGTCAGTATTTGGGCTATTGTAACTAGCATGAAATGACACAGAGGGTTTTGGATGCACAATATGTTTCTTTTATAGGATGCAAATGTATTGAGTGATGCAACAGACGGCTGAACGTTGGGTTCGATATGTAACGCAGATTCTAACTAGAATGAGTCTTTGTGCAGGTTCTTTTTGAAATCACTTCATTGATTACCTCAACCCTCTAGGAAATGGCTTATGCATCTCATGTACATTATAACAAATGTTCTCTTTGCATTACAATTGAATTGTGATTGTTATGTTCAATCAATGGGAAAGGTCAAAGGATCGCCACTGCCAGCAATTTAATGGAGAAGTCAATGGAGATTCATTTTAATCACTGTGGCTGTTGCCGAATGAGCACAACAGGCCCTGTGAATGGCACGGTAATTACTACTGTTTATACAGGTTTACCTTCCAATTTAGATATCCACAAATCTCTCGCCTGATATAAAAGTCTGTGCGGCTTTTAACAGGGGACGGGGCACCGCAGAGTAATTGTGCAGCTATCAAGCGGCTGCTTTTGAAAAAATGAAATGAGCTCTCTTTTAAAGACTGATATCACCAGAGGGGCAGTATTTTACATACGGTTGGACGTTTTGCCAGCTCAGCTCACAAGACACTCGGCTGGCATCTTTCCAAGTGAATCCTGAGATTTGCAGATATATTTGCAGACAGGATGCACAGAGAGAGAGAGAGAGTGAGTTGTAAGGCAGGATGGCATCATCATAACAACCGCACAAATGGATCTGAGCATCAGAACAGCTTGACATCTGATAATTATTTTATGGCAACGTATCTCTAATGCACGTAATGAACCACGACGTTCCAAGTTTATGCTAGGAAGCTAAACATTAATGAGAATTTATGTTAGTAATGTACTTTTGCTAGACATATATATATATATGTGTGTGTGTGTGTGTATATATATATATATATATATATATAT